TATGCAAAGCATTGGAATTACTGACAATGGGGCCTCTTGGTTTTGAAGTGGATTTCTCATACATGAGGTCACGCATGTGGACATGTAGAATCCTAACCCTAAAAAGAGGTGACGTGAGTAAAGACTGCCATTTCTATTTTATCTCAATCATTTTGATGCTCTTTGGTATTGGGAACCGTTGTGGTGATGAATCTACTTAGTATGCTATAGCAGTGATGCTATTGCACGAAAGGACCTACAGGACGGATGCGATGGTACCATGCTTGATGGTAAGCTTGGTTTCTCCAAGTTGTCAGGCACTTTAAGAAAATTAGAAACATCCAGGAGAGTAAGGGCCAAGCACAAAAAGATCAATTTTTGTTGATTTAAAAAAATCGCTTTCAAATCTATATGTATCAAATGTACAGTCTCACAAGTTCCTTTATTCGAAAGATGAGTGGTAACTGCCAGAAGTATACACCGGTGGCCTCAGGATATGGCCATTGCTGCTAAACACAAATAAGACCAGATGCGGCGTGGGTGACTGTGTGAAGGATGTAAGACATTAGAAGTGCACCATCTGAAATAAAGTTAAGGAGAACAATGTTCAATGCAGGCCAAAAGTTTGGAATGAGAGGGGAAAAAGCAATGGCACTTGTTCTTCCTACAGATCAAAAGGACGGGGGAGAAATGACAACACAGATGTTCAGGAAAACTTGAAAAATGAGTAACGGTATAGGGACCAGTGCAGAAAATAATGGAAATAAGTATATATCGCATAGATGAACCAAGTTATTTATTCACAAATTTTTTTAAGTTTTTTTTTTTTTTTGTAATTTAGGATAATCCTGTAAATAAGAATCATAATTATGAAAATAATGTTTCATACTAAGTACTTTTAATTCTTCAGTCATAATACGTAGCTATCCATATGGGGATTACTTATCCATAAAGAAAATAACTTCTTCTAAATCCAACCTCAGGGGAAATATATTACACTTGAATCATACAAATATGTCATTATTTTTATGACAAGTCCCATTAAAATAATTATGGGTATTACATAATCATTACCGTGATTTGGGATAAGGTGCAGCCAACTTGAAATTATGAAATCGGGTTATAGCAAATGCAGTTTCTAACAAACACTAGGTAAATCACAACATGAATTGAAGTTAACCTAATTTGTTTCCCTGTACAAAGTTTAAATTTGTTGCATCTACACTGAACCCAGCTTCTGCAGCTTCTAATGGGAGACAGATGGTGGTGAACATCTAGGGGCTCTTCCTGCTTTTAGATAAGCCTGAGTTTTAGTTCCGATTCTGTCACATATTACTTTTTTATCTTTGGTAATTTGCTGAATTTCTTTGTTTTCTGTTTTGTTTCACTGGTCCATTATATCAGGCCAATAGCCTCTACCTATGATGTTCACAGGTAGAGGCTATTAAAAGGTATTAGGTAGGCAAAATGCACAGCACATAAAGACTAGCTCCCTCCCCATGTTGCATCCTTTTTTCCTAGTAAATTGAGCCTAACAGTCACAATTTACTTTTTTTTTAAATTAAGCCTGAAATTTTGTACAAATGAGAGGTTATGGGTTTATTTATTATTAGTATTATTATTAAGGAAAATGTATTTTTTGATGGAAAATAAGTTTCAACTAATGATTAAAGCTATTTCTATATTTTATAACATCAACTTACATCATACATCTTATGGTCTTTTTTTCTTTATCCTCAATTGCCACGTAAAGCCAGAGCAGGAGGAGTAAAAAATACCTAGATTTCTAAAGTGCTCATTCAAGTGTATCAAACCTAATGATATTAGTTATTTCCTAGTGTCTGGGAATGGTGCGTGTGTGTGTGTGTGTGTGTGTGTGTGTGTGTGTGTGTGTGTAGATAAGGTGGTTGGAACTCTGTACTAATGAAGTGAAACTTGTGCATCATATGAAGTTACACTGGGAAAATATCAAGTCTTCTAACATGAAGTACACCAGAGCATGACTCCCTGCCTCTTAAATTTGCGCTGACTGAACCTAAAAGGATCAGGAAAGATAATCATTATGTAACAAAATGATAATGAATGTTCTAAGTTGATATTCTATAGTCTTTGAAAGACTCTGTTAAATCAACAAATATTTTTACAAGTTCAAGAGAGCAGAAAGAGTGAACAAGTAGAAAAACTTATTTTACCCTGGAACAATTCTGCATCCTGTATGAGAATTTACATCACTCTTTCCAGTATACTCTGATTTAAATGTTCAATATGTGTATGTATGGGAATTTGCATGTGTGCGTATTTATAACTTTCTGCATCGCTACTGCCAGACATGACTGTGTACCTCATATTGTGCCCTTCGGATGCACAATTTCCCTTCCCTTTCTTTTTTTCTAACCATTTGATATAATCAGTGCCAGAAACGAAAGCATAATGAAGATGACTAAGGAGCAATAAAATAAATATGAATTGGTTTTTGACAAGGAATGCGTCAGTATGGGAATAAACCTTCTTTTGTGGAGAAAACTACTGGAATGCACCCACCAGCATATCTCCAGCAGCTGGAGAGAAAAAGGGCCATAGTCTTAAACCTGAAACCCCACGATCATAACTCTGCTGTTTATTCTCCTCACCCCTGAGTCCAGTATCTATATTCACTTATGTGTGTCTCCAGAGAATCCAAGACACTTTTGGAAATGCTGAAGATTGGAGAGTGACTACCTTGCATTGTTTATGACGAGTCAGAGTTACATAGAAAAGCACTCATAATATGAAAGTAGCTTATTCAAGACTCAAGACTGGGCAAAATGAAATAAAAAAAAACAAAAACACAAAACACAACAAACAAAACCACATCCATATACTGCCACATTTCCCTGATTAATTTACTGATGGCATTGGCACATATCGTTTTACTTAAAAGTTTGAAAAATACAAATACCTCTTTTATATGCAAAAAGTGAATGTTACGTACATGAAATATGGAATTTTATACAGCTTCCTAAATGTGAGACGCATGCTTAAACAGTGCATACATTTTACAAATTAATCCTCAGTGTAAGTTATCACCAAAGCTTGATATACAGGTACAATCTCTTAGGCCCTAACACCTAGGGGATGAGAATAGCACCTGCCTCTACTGCAATTAATGAAACAACGGCAAAACCCCCAGCAAGTTCCTTTTGATGTCCTGGGAGTGACATCACTTCCATAACCAAGCTTTAAATGCTTTTTGTTAGTCATGGTTTTAATGTAAACTTCAAATCTGTAGACGAAAATATGTATACCTTTAGTCGTAAAGCACAATTTCTTAGTTACAAGCGCTTTATAACTCAAAATGGTGTCTATAGCTCTGAATGGACAGAAAACTATCACGTGCCATTGTATTCAAGAGTGCTGCAGGTTCCCAGGTGCTTTCACATCGCCATGAAAACGAGGAACTGAGAAATTACTCTGGGCTGCAGGATGGCAAGCTTCTTGCTATTGTTGTGCGCACTCCCTGCCCTTCTCACGTGCATACAGCAGGTCACACACAGTCTCCTGGTTTAGTGAACACTGATGTTCATAGGCAGCAGGAAAAGCCCACTCCATAGAGGGCAGAATTCTCAAGTGCCAATACCCCTATAATACGAGGCGTTTTCAGCGGCTGAGTACAAAGCCTATTTGTGATTTTTGGTCTTTGCTTTTGCATTTTTGGGGAAGGGAGGAAAATGAGAGTTTAGAGGGCTCAATATAAGCACCCCAGCATGAGCTTTCCCAAATGTATCCCTCTCATAACAGTAACCTACTGATCACCACCAGGCTGGGAAAATTGTAACTTGGCCTATCTGTAAACCTATCCACATGGATTTGGGTTGATGTCGCTTGCTGTCTCAGTCTGAAAATAGATGGGATGAGTTCTGGTTAAAACACAATCCCTGATTATTGCTTTCTGGATTACTCACAAAAATCCTTTTTAGCCCTGCCCTGTGTAACTCAGTGGGTTGGGTATCATCCCTGCCCCGAAAAGCCACTGCTTTCTCTAAAACCAACTGAGTTGTTTTTGTTTTTTTCCTTTTCTTTTAAAATCAATGGATGTAGACCGTTCCTTGGGGGTAATTTAGGCTTTTTTAACTTAGTTTAAATATTAGGTAAAAATTCTAAAAATTAATTTGAGGTGCTGTTCTCTACTACCTCAAAGAAAACATGTGCAGGGGCTAATCAAATCTTATGGTTTAAAAGTTAGTTGTGTTTTCAAATTAAGATCACCTCGTTTCTACCCATGTTCTTATCTTTAAAATCCACATGTACAGTAGTATGCAAATATAACACAGTTCTTTTTTTCTCCATGGATATTTCTTAAGTAAAAAGAAAAAAAAATAGTATGGTGATAATGCGCTTTTTGAACTTATTTATCTTCTGTTCTCTAGATACTGTGAGTGAAAATTCATTTGCCTTTAGTTCAATTTCACACTTTAATATCTGAAAAATGTGGAGAGGGTGTTCTTATAGAATTATTTAAACCAGGGGTTTGGATTTCAGATCTCTATAATCAAGACTGGAAGTCACTAGAAGATTTGGAAATTATTTTAATCACCACAACCAGAGTCATGTATGAAAATAAAACTCTTGCATGGATTCTTTATATGCATAATCTCAAAATATATCTTTTAAAAAAGGAAACATTTAAAATTTGACATTCAGGGAAATCTCATCTCCGTCATTCACTATTAAGTTTTATTTAAACTAAAATCCTTTCCAATATTTTGGAGGGGGAAAAAAAGTTCTCATAAGAAAGTCATAAACACTGGGCTGGCCGGTGTGGCTCAGTGGTTGAGTGTCGTTCCATGCATCAAGAGGTCGCTGGTTCGATTCCTGGTCAGAGCATATGCCCCAGTTGCCTGTTCGATCCTCAGTAGGAGTTGGCCAATCAATGTTTCTATCTCTTTCCCCCCCTCTCCCTTCCTCTCTCTGTCTAAAAAAATCAATACAAAAACATATTTTTTTTAAAGTCATAAACACTGAAATCAGAGATGCGATTCTTGCTACATGTTAGTTTCTCTTTCTGAGGGATTATTCTCTAGTCTCATGCTTTTGACTTCAATAGCACAATGTTTAGGTGCATTCAAGGGTTCAGATTCTTGGGAATCCGGCTTGTTATACGTTTCTTCCCTTGCTTTTTCCAACTGCTTTTCCTTTGCAAGCATTCTGTAGTTTATAGTGTTACCAATGAGCAACCACACACTTGCTAGGAACACAATAGCCCCGCAGGCTATATACATATATTTATACTCTCCAGTTTCATCCACCAATTTACCTAAGAGACAAAACAAACAAACAAACCAAAAAAAACATATTTTAGGATAAAATAATAAAAGAGCCATAAATAATAAAAATTTCTAATAAATTCTTCCATAGACATAGTATGTATTTATTTCTTATTCAACTTAATATTAAATATCTAATGAAAATTATTCTTGTATATGACATATATATATAAGTAAAGGCATAAATATACACATGGAGCATTATATTACTTGCATATTAAAATTATTGAACATTATTTCCCTCAATAAAAATGTACATTTAAGACAAAGTAGGTATATATGCTTTGGAGTGCATATCCATAAATATATACATATTTAATATCTACTCATGCAGAAATAGATATATTTATCTATCTCTTTATTTACAGCACATATTGATATTGCTTCAGTCCTTTCTATACTTCCTATCTTCTCATAAAAGAGGGAAACATTATATTCGTTAGGAAAGACCCAAGGCTTTTATAAAGTCCATAGATGACATGATGTTTACTAAATGCTCTCTATGCCCAGCACTAGGCTAAACACCATTATCTGCAATATCTCAGTGATTTCTACAAGAGCACTAGGAAGTAATCTGTGTATGGTTACACAGCCAGGGAGGCGCAGACTCTGGGTCTGATCAAGACTGTCTGAATCTCATATTCCTAACTGTTCTTTAAATGGCTTCTCCAAATCTCATAGTTAAGAGTTATGTCACTTTTGTGGCTAATTACAGTTTTTGCTTTATCTAAATCTAAAGTATTAAGGCCAAACTAGTAATCAGAAAAAAGCATGACGCAGGGGTTGAGCGTCAACCTATGAACCAGGAGGTTATGGTTTGATTCCCATTAGAGGCTTGAACCCCAGCAGTGGGTGTGCAAAAGGTGGCTGATCAATGATTCTCTTCATCATAGATGTTTCTAGCTCTCTCTCCCTCTCCCATCCTCTCTAAAGTCAATAAAAAAATATTTTGTTATGTTTTTTTTAAAGAAAGAAATGTTTATTCCATTTGATTATTGGAGAAAAAAAAAACTAGCTTGGTGCCATATAATCTAAAAGCTTTATTGACTTTTAAAAATATTTCAATTCATAGATTTGCCTCTTGCTGTTTGTTTATTTATTTATTTATTTATTTAATTTATTGCAGGCAACTGATTCTTAAGAATAATTATTACCAGCAAAATGGAGTGGACACAAATCCGTGTTCTTATATGATTATTCCAGGTGATTCTGATAGACACCTTATTTGTTTTATCAGAATCTCTATCCTTCTAATTGAAACCTAGTCAGTAGCTCAGTGTTAAATTTAGTTACTTTTGAAATTAACTATTTGAACAAGGTTCCCTGTTTTAATTGGGTAAATGGTGGAATAGACTTATTTGAATACATATGACACATACATAAGCATAACAAAAACTGTGTCATTGAATTTCCCATTCTGACTTTAAGTCAAATATTCTTTTTATACAAATATTCTTTTTTTTAACTGCTTCAGTATGAAAAAATAGGCCAATTGTACTTGTCTTATAATCAATTAGCTGATAAATATACTGACTGGTTTTTAACTGTTTTTAAAAATTGTTTTGGTGCCCTGGTACATCCACGCTGAGGGATATACCACCCAAAACAACTGTGCAATTTAGTACAGGACAGTGGTGGTGGGCAGCAAGTACACAAATACTCAGCCTGTTCCTAACCAAGTGAAAAAAGCAAAAGGTAAAATGTCAAAGTGCCTTAAGTTAGCAAATTAAAGATAAATTTTTCCCACTTTTGAAATGATTCCTTGATGTCATGTAAGAAGCCTTTTATTAACTGATTTAAATATATTGAAATTTTTACATTTAGCCCGGCATTTACTGTGACCACCAGGGGGCAGGCGAGGAGTCTCAGTGAATACCTAAGTAGTATTAACCAAAATAATATATAATGATCACTGAAAAATTCTGGTCCACAAAAAGTATTTAATATTTATAACTTTAGTATGTTATAAAAAAATATTAAGCAAAGTCTAAACTTCAAAATGAAGTTTAGTATCTTCACTGGGCTATTTACACAAATGCTTATATAAGCATCTTTAAAAATTTTAGATCTTAAAATTAACAGGTAGTCTTAATAATTTATAAATATGAACTATAAGTGTCTGATAAAAATGACTTTCATGGATATATATTAGTATATTCTATCAGTGGTTATTATAAAAGTATTCTTCCCTTAGGTATGTAACAAGTTTCATAACAATATAACCAATAAGAAAATAGATCCTGACTTTTTGAGAGAGCTATAATATTTTAAATTTTTGACTAATTTTAATATAGATGGAAGAGAAATCTGTCACCAATGATAAAATTTAAAAAGTGACTTTTTCATTAAACATTTTCAAAAACACAAAAACAACTTGATATGGGTAAAATATCTAAACATTATGCTAATTATCAGTCTAACTTAAATTCTTAAGTTCATAGGTCCAGCGTTTGAAACAAATTTAGATCTAAATTCAACTAATTATTAAGTTCAAAAATACATACTAAACCCTAAACTTAACACATGCTCAGTCCTTCAAGCTACTAGTATTTTGTTAATTATAAGGCATGTGATGCATCACAATGAACATCTCAGTCAATAGCTATTGATTTGATGCTTTTTGCTTTCCTTGATGAGAAATCTTACCAGCAAGAGGAGGGCCAAGGAGAACTGGACAGCACTCCACAATTGTGACAAGTCCCACAGCACTGGAAAATCTTTGAGCACCAACAAGGTCCATGAGGCTTTCAAAGAGAATACTGCTAACACTCCCAAATCCAAGGCCAAAAAATATAGCATAAAACACCAGGCTTATGTAGTCCTCCGCCAATGGGCACAAGAGGTGGCACACTCCCGTGAACATAATCGCAAAACTGAAGAAATACTGGATTCGAGGTCGAACAAGTTTGGTGTTCGCAATAAATCCTACTGCAGGCCTCGCAAACATGTCAACGAAAGCCATAACAGACAGCAGGAAGGCTGCCGAGTACTCATCAATCCCCTTGTCTTTGGCATATGGGGCCAAGAATATAACAGGTGCAAAAAATCCAAGAAACATAATGACATTTCCGGACAAGTATATCAAAAACCCTCTGTGCTTGAAAAGGGAGAAATCTAAATAGTTATTAATTTTTTTCCAGACTGATTGCTTCTTGTGGCTGTTTTTCACACTCGACTCGAGCTCTGTTTCGCAAGTCTTATTTTGAGCCTTAGTAGTTGGTTTGGATTCAACGGGTCTCATGAGAGCCCCAGCCACACAGGCATTCAACAATATGCCTCCCAAGACCATGAAGCTTCCTTTCCAGCCGAAAGTATTAAAAAGGAACTGATTGAAAGGAGCCAATGTACTTAGGAAAACAGGACTTCCTGCCATGGCGAGCCCATTCGCGATGGGTCTTTTCTTATAGAAGTATTTGCCAATGATCGTTAAGGCAGGTTGCAGGTTGAAGGCCAGACCTAAACCTGAAAAGAACAAAACAGAAGGAAGAAAAACACAAACACATTAGGCCACTCACAAAAGAAATTACTCTTCAAAACATCCATTCGATTGGGTAAGGCAGGACTCAAAAGGCAATAGCAGGTGTTGATTTTTTTTTTGTTAATCACCAATATCAAGAGATGGCACATAAAAAGTTTCTCACAACTGGACACATGTCATGTATGATGGTTCAAATTCCTTTCAATTTAAAGCACAAAAATAAAACCAAAAGCTTTTACCGATGTTTCAAAAATCAGAGCATAGGTGGAAACTAAGACAAAATTATTAATTCTTATAATTATAATCACTTAGTTCCACAGATTTTCATCTCCTTTTATATTTACACTAAAGGCCCAGTGCATGAAATTTGTGCACGGTGTGTGTGGGGGGGGGGGGGGGCGGGGGGGGGGTGTCCCTCAACCCAGCCTGCATCTTCTTCAATCTGGGTGACTGATGTTCAACTGTCTATTTAGGCCTGATTCTCTCATAATCCAGGACTGCTGGCTCCCAACCGCTTGTCTGTCTGCCTGCCTGCCTGCCTGCCTGCCTGCCTGCCCCTAACCACTTCTGCCTGCCAGCCTGATCACCCCCTAACCATTCTCCTGCAAGCCTGATGCTTCCCTGACAACTTTAACTGCTTTAACTGCTCCCCTGACAACTCGATTGCCACCAACTGCCCACCCCTACAGGCCTAGTTGCCCCTAACTGCCCTCCCCTGCAGGCCTGATCTCCCCCAACTGTCCTCCCCTACTGGTCCATATGTCCCTAACTGCCTTCCCCTGCAAGCTTGGTTTCCCCCCCACCCCCAAACTGCCTCCCCTGCCTGGTGCACGAATTTCATGCACTGGTCCTCTAGTCTAAAATAATAAAAGGGTATTATGCTAATTAGACCAGGCGTCCTTCTGGGTGTCATTCTGGGCATCCTTCCAGGTGGAGCCTGGGCCAGAGGGAAGCCGGTGCCGGCAACCAGGGGGGAAGGCCTACTCTTGCATGAATTTTCGTGTATCCGGCCTCTAGTAATTAATAAGTAATAATACAAGGATAGATTGCTTCACACACTCACAACTCTAACACTGTTTTTGTCCCACCTGTATAATACTGTTGCTATTTGTGGTGCAGTAATACCCAAATCACCTTTTCCTTAATACATCTACTTGTAGACGTTGCCTTACTTCCATAGTCAAACATAATACACAGTATCTCAGCACAAAGGAAATGGCACTCTCTCCATTCTGGGAATTTTTAGACAGAATAAGATTCTCTCATTCACAAAAGATGTTTTACTATATCAAGAAAAAAGAGAGAGGGGTATTGATAGGTATTAAAAAGAATGATTTTACATTACTACGTTGTAGGCTTTAATGTTTTTTTTTCCTTTACATGACACATAAGTGCAAGGTTAGACTGATCTCAAATCACAATAAAAAGAGAACTATGTTTACCTTATTATCTGTGGGCATTAGAAAAAATATTCAATTTCTTTATATATTGAAGTCTAATTTTCCTTAAAAGTGAGTATTGATTTGTTTGATTCAATTTACTATTGAGGCTAATAAACATTGTCTTTTCCAAATGTTCATATTCAGGTCAGTTTAAGTCCAGAGACATTTTGCAGGAGAAACAACTATAATCAAACACTAGGATGTCATTTGAAAATATTTGTGTTTAGTACCCAGTGTGCCTTGTAGAACTTTAACCCATAATCTTTTTAGGAAGGGAACAAAGAGGCATCAATACAGAGCTCCACCATAAACAGAATACAAGAATTCTATTGTATTCAAGCTAAGTCAGTGCAGCCAGAAAATTAACTCTCTGCCACTGTTTTTAACCTATTATTTGAAACATCAGATATTATAAATACTAATAAGCAATGAAAAATACATTTTTTTAAAAAAAATTAAGCTATATGCCAGAAAGCTTCTGTCTGCCATCTTAGCTGGCTGAAAAGTGAAGGGTAAAATGATAAAAACAGGCCAATGCTGTTTTTTTTTTGTTTGTTTGTTTCTGACATTTATATCATAGAACATTATGGATCCGATAACTTGTTTTTTCCCCCAATACCTAAAATAAATTTGATTGGACATTTTATAGCTAATATTTCAATGTGCTAGATGTAAATAATTCAAGATTATACCTGATAGAAAGATGAAATTCAAAGAAAACAATAAAAATATTCTATTGTTCACCTATTTTAGAGAGCTTCATGAGCAGCATGGGTGTTAAGATAATTAGCTGAAAACAAAACTTACCTCCAATGAACCCCACAGTGAGGTAGAGCTCTATTACACTGGTGCTAAAAGAGGCTGCGACCAAGCCCACACAGCACAGCAAACCGCCTATCATCACCACTGGCCGGCTACCATATTTATTCACCAGAATACTGCTTATGGGACCTGGGTAAAGATGAGATTACGAAATATTCAGCTGCTGGGTCATTTATTTTTTACATTACTTATTTTGAAACCGGAGGTGCACGTTTTAATGATCGAAGAAAAATACACAGAGCATATAATGTGAAGACTTCAATACTTTCCAATCAGTTTGACTGATTATCTTTAATCATACATGTAAAAGCACATAAAAGAATACTTGAAAACTACTTAATATATACTTTATGATCACAATCATTCAACTTTTGAAGAAAAAGTGTGACAAAACATAGCTAAATTGTCTAAATATTTTAGTAAATGCAGGAAATTTTATATAACAAAAACCTAGCCATTATATAAATGATTTGTATTAGAATTTAGTTTTATAGAATACTGTACTTGTGCATACACACACACACACACACACACACACACACACACACACTTAATTAGAGTTTAATTTTTAAATTAGAACCCATTATGTTTTTTCTTTAATATTGTGTTTCTTTGATTCTAAGACACCGATTGTTTCCATACCTTACGGTATTAGAAATAAGAATGTTTTAGACTTGGTAATCTCTGAACAATTCCTGTTTATCAGGGTGCAGTCATAGGAATAATGTAGCTATCATGGCCCACAAATGCCTGAACTGTATGTTTTTGCTGTGGATTGGTTTGGACAATAGAAATACTGGTAAATCACATTAACTAATAGTTCAAATCAAACCAGTTAAGGACCATTTAAAATGGAATATGAAATCTTCATTGTTTTTTGAAAAATTTTCGGTTGACACATTCTGATAAGGCCAAGAAAGAACCAGCCCAAACTTGCAGAATGGATGCAGTAGTACAGGTGGAATTAACAGAAAAAATGGTGGCTTTCTCCATGAAAATATGCTTCCACATGGACAAGGAGAACAATCTCTTATGTTAAACATGAACATCAAGGACTTGGACTCAAAAACTAATCTAGAAGACCTAAATACTACCTGGAAAGAAGGTTTTAAAAATGCCTTGCTCGATTTTTTTAAATGTACACTTTTCTGGCAAATGTGCCCTATTCGTGTGTGTATGCATAAAATATTCAGGAGTGGTTAAAATGATTAAATTAATTTAAGTATGTCTTTAAAAGCGCTTTTGGAATTATAAAATTAAAGCTATAAATATTAATAAAGTGCTGCATCTTATTTTTGTGTACATCATTTTTTTTAATGGTGTTTTATAAAATAGTGTTACAACTGCCCTCGTCAGATATACCGAGGTTGTGGGTTTGATCTCTAGTGGAGCACATATGGGTATCAACCAATGAATGCATGAATTAGTGGAACAACAAATCTCTCTAAAATCAATAAATAAATATTAAAAATAAAATGCAATTTAACAATTGAGGCTTAGAGCAAATGCAAATCCATACTAGTTTATAAAACTTGTCAATGTGTAAGTGATTTGACATTCCATTTTTATTTTAAAATTATATTTCATCTGAAACTAGGGACACTACTTTTCTTAAAATAATTTGACTAACTAAATTTGATTCAACTTTATTTAAATTAGCTTAATACAGTATTTCTTTTTTTTAAATATATTTTATTGATTTTATACAGAGAGGAATTGAGAGGAATAGAGAGTTAGAAACGTCGATGAGAAAAAAACACCAACCAGCTGCCTCTTGCACACCCCCCCACTGGGGATGTGCCCGCAACCAAGGTACATGCCCTTGACCGGAATCGAACCCGGGACCCTTCAGTCTGCAGGCTGACGCTCTATCCACTGAGCCAAACCAGTCCCGGCTAATAGAGTATTTCTTGAGCCAGTTTTCACATGCCAAGGATGAGTTAATCCTCAATACATTACAGTCCAGAGAAAGAAATAATGAAGAAGTTGTTTTAAGAACTGTGGTGGATGGTTTGATTAGACAATTAGAATAAATTCAAAAGCACTGACCAATTACTTGGGTTAATAACAATGATCTCAGTATACCATTTTCTGTGTGGTGCTTAGATAATTTAAAAAAAATGAGTTAACTGACTTACTACATTTTATAATTGTGTTTGCCCAAAATGTGTAAACTGTAATGTATGTGAAATAATTATATTTAAATATTGGGATAACTACATCAAAGTTTTTTCCATCACTGTGATTAACTAAAGGAAGTCACTAAAGAAAACATTTAGAGGTGCTGGCTTTTTTTTTTTTTTTTTTTTTTTTTTTTTTTTTTTTTTTTTGAGGTGGCTTAGATAGTTTCTACATTGGGATTAGTCAAGATGCAGTAAGAGTTATAATTTTAAAAAATAATTTTATTTTAAGTTATATACTTTAATTAAATGATAGTCTATATGAGATATTTACATAAGTCATCTATGATCTTTTTCCTGACCAAAAAATACTTCATAAGTGATTATTTATAAATAATCAAAGCTCCATACTCCTTTATTTCCTTGTCTTCTGAAAGCTATTTCTGTTTCTCCTGGTGTGGCTCCATAATACTTATGAAAAGGATACTATTCTGGCAAGAAAGCTTTGTGGGTTCTTATAAATTACAGAGTTTTCCCACTCTTAGAATTCTTTACACTTAGAGTTGGTAATAAACACACACAGATACACATACACAATTATTTAGTTTCCATTTCATTTATCTGAATCTTGTTCAATTGTATAAAATCTCATAAAACATGTCTACTTTGTCGGTTAAAATTTAAATTATGATATAAAGTAAAATACACTCATTTTGTAAACAATTTTTTAAAAAAATATACTCTATTGATTTTTTTACAGAGAAGAAGGGAGAGGGAAAGAGAGTTAGAAACACCAATAAGAGAGAAACATCAAAACATTGATCATCTACCTCCAGCACACCCCCTACTGGGGATGTGCCTGCAACCAAGATACATGCCCTTGAGTGGAATCGAACCTGGGAACCTTCACTTCACAGGCCGATGCTCTATCCACTGAACCAAACTGATTAGGACTGTAAAGAATTTTTAATGCTTAATATTAGCTTGAGGAGGCATCTTAACATTAGATGTAACATGACACCATCCATTATCTCTCTCTATCCTACAAGCGGCTTAGTTTGTTGTTACTAACAAGAAATATAAAATTAAAAATGGAAATGGATTCTCATCACATGTGATTTTTATTAAGCATGAGATAGCTTCCCAGGTGTCCCCTTTTGATAAATCAAAGGCCTGATTATATTCTGAGCGAATTCATTCATTTATCTATTAATTCAATCATACTGGAAGTTTGTACTCAGCATGTGTTTTCAAGTAATCATGGTGTTTAATTATTAGTTATGTCAAAAAACAAAACTCTGTACCTACTGATACCCTGTTTCCCCGAAAATAAGACAGTGTCTTATATTAATTTTTTCTCCCAAAGTTGCGCTAGGTCTTATTTTCAGGGGATGTCTTATCTTTCCATGCGCTAGGTCTTATTTTCAGAGGATGTCTTATTTTCGGGGAAACATGGTAGTTATATCTGAGTTTGTATCTAAGTACAGCAGTTATTGTTCATCAAAATTTTTTTGTTCTATTTGCTCATCAAACAGTTATAAAAAATGGCATGCAAGAATAATAATATTTCATTTCCAAAAAAATTTACAAAAGTATCAGACTGTATCCAAATCAGATTATGTACCCACTAATTTCTTCTGATCCTGCTTTCCAATCAAAGGATTTTTTTAGTGTCAAGTTAATAGCCACATGTTAACTATGAAGCTTCTTATAAATTAGAGTTTGCACACTCTTAGAACTCCTGTTGCACTTTATAGTTGGTAACACACACACACACACACACACACACACACACACACATTTATTCTGCATTTAATTTGTTTGAATCTTGTTCAGACACTCTATTCTAAGCTTTGTGGAAGTAGCTGCCATATATACTATTATTCATCATGCCAAATATTCATCAATATTTATTGAGTTACTACGTTTTTGCAGTTAGTGTGCTAATAATTGTGAATTATTATATGATTTTTTGGCAATTTGATGATATAATTGCCTAATTAAAGTTACGTAACAGTCGATAAAACTAAGGTGTGCAAAATGCTTAGATAACTTGTTCAAGATTGCATCAGAATCAGTGGCAGAATTTGGATATAAGCCCAAAGGCACTTGAGTATAAAACTGTGCTATTAACTACTGTCAGAAAAGTGTCAACAACAACAAGGATAAGATACTATCCTTCAGAAGGCCTGACTTGTGCTGGTTGGTGTGGCTCGATGGATGTGCGTTGACCTATGAACCAAGAGATAACAAATCAATTCCTGCTCAGGGCACATGTCTGGTTTACGGGCTCGATCCCCAGTGGAGGGCATGCAAGAGGCAACTGATTAATGATTCTCTCTCATCATTGATATCTCTCTTTCTCTCTCTCTCTCTCTCTCTCTCTCTCTCTCTCTCTCTCTCTCTCTCTCTCCCCCTTCTGCTCTGAAATCATTAAAAACAAACAAACAAACAAACAAATAAGGCTTTGATTGGCTTCTGCAAACTTGGATTTCAGAAGTATTCCCATCATTCCCTAGCTGATAAGAGTGGCTCACTGTGCCTAAACTATTTCACAAACAATAAACTATGTGGTTTTAAAAAATAAATAAATAGGCATTGTAGTTTATATTTAATATATGCTTTCCTTGTGGGAGTCTGGAATTTTGGTATATGCCAGACAGGAATACCTATGTAAGCATTCACCCAACAGAAACCTTAAGCGCTCGGGCTCAATTGAGTTTCCTTGTTAGGCAACACTTCCCACATGTGAAAACCAATTCCTGAAGAAACTAAACCCATCTTTTGTGACTCTGGTGGGAGAAGACTCTTGGAGTCTGCAACTAGTTCCCTCTGTACTTTGCCTGGTGTGTTTGTTTCTTCCTGATTTTGTTCTGCGCCATTTCATCTTAATGAACCATGGCCATGGGAGACATTTTTGACTTTTGTAAATCTAGAAACAAATAACTACACCTGGATGTGATCTCTCTTACTGATAATTTTGAATTTTGGTTTAGAACTTATAAACGG